CCCTCAAAGGACTCATATTTTAAGACTTCTGGGCCCAAACACCCTATTATATAAGGCTTTTGGGCTATTTTGATGCTAAGGGTAACAGGCTTTGAAATTCAGAACAGGGGTTTAGGGTTCAAGGGTTTAGGGCTTAAGGGTTTAAGAGTTTAAGGTTTAGGGCTTGGGGTTTGGACCGTAGGGTCTATTGTTCTTAGAAGACAGTCTACAATGGATATAAACAAATCCGGCTCCTAATTACATAAATCCACGATGCAACGAAGCTCTTTTAATCACTTATAGCCTTGTTGGGAAGTTTCTGGAGCATGATCCACCAACTACTCCTAAACGAACCCGCCAAAACGTCAGCCGTAAGCCCCCCCAACAAACACTGTGACCCAAAACCGTAAACCTAAACCCCTGAACCCTAAAGCCCATATAGATTCCTTTAAAGGAACCCTAAAACCCTAAACCCTAAACCCCATATAGATCCCTTTAAAGCCCTATAGTACTCCTGTACCCTTAGCATCAAAATAGCCCAAAACCCTTGTATAATAGGGTCTTCGGCCCAAAAACCTTAAAATATGGGTCCTTTGAGGGTAAGGGATACCTAGAAGCTCTCTCTCTCTCTCTCTCTATATATATATATATATACTACCATTATGGAATTAGGTCCCAAAAGACCATACTTATTATGGCTTTCGGGACCTAGTTCCATAATGGTAATATATATGGAGCCTCTGGGTAAGGGATAGTAATGTAGGACCCTAAACCCTAAACCCCTAAACCCTAAACCCTAAAACCCTAAACATTAAGAAACCCCTGGGTCTTCTCATTAGGGTCCTTTATATGAGCCCGAGTAGTTTGGGCCTAGAGGGCCAGGATTTCTGAATCAGGTTCCTACACTGCCGTTATGGGACCCGAACCCCAAAACTCAGGTTTAGGGCTTAGGGGTTAGGGTATAGGGTTTGGGGTTGAGGTTTAGGGACTAGGGTTTAGGGTATAGGGTTTGGGGTTGAGGTTTAGGGTTTAGGGTGGTAGGGTTTAGGATTTAGGGTTTAGGGTTTAGGGTATAGGGTTTGGGGTTTAGGGTTTTTTAGGTATAGTACCCCTGTAGTACCTTTGTTGGGACTCGCACGGGCTCCTTTTGGGATCCATTCCAGGGCTTGTGGAAAGGCTTTTCTCAAGGATCCAGAACTGAGGGCCCAGTGGGTACTTGGATGCTCCCGGGCGAGCGCGCCTTAGGCGCTACACCCTACCTGGAGGGTCGGAGGACGTAGTAAGCAGCTGAGAAGTAGAGCTACAAGTGCCCTAAGTGGGATCCGTTTGGGGTTATCGCTCTTAAAACGTACCTAGAGGCTCCAGATATACGACCATTATGGAATTAAGTCCCGATAGACCATACCTATTATGGCTTTAGGGACCTGCTTCCATAAGGGTAGTATTTGTTTATAGCCTCTGGGTTATACTGTCATACCCTTAGCATCAAAATAGCCCGAAAGACTTATATAATAGGGTCTTTGGGCCCAACAGCCTTACCATATGAGTCCAAAGAGGGAAAGGGAAAGAGTTCTTGATTGACCCTTAGCCTTTCTCCCTGACCGCTGCCAGGAGGGTAAGGACGCCTTCGGACAGGAAGCAGTCGACACTTTGATCAAGGAGATCGAGGACAAGAGGGACCAGGCCCAAATAAACAAGCCGCGATCGCTAAAGTGCTGAGCCTGA